TAAGAACCAAATGAAGCAGGTTTCCCATTATCAAACCATCATATCTCATGAGAATTATTCATTACCATGATTACAGTATGGAAGAAGCTACCCCATGATTCAATTATCTCCCACTGGGTGCCTCCACACAACACATGGGAATAATGGGAATACAATTTAAGATGAGATTTGGGTGGGGACACAGAACCAAACTATATTAATGGACTATCAGGTTTAACAACAAAATAAGGGAAACTAGGAGATTTTTGATAAATGTTTTTATTAAAAACATTTATCTCAGATCATGATTTTACATATTTATGGAAACCTACTCTATCTTTTTGACTTACCTGGACTTACAATAGAATGCATTTATTTGTCTCCATGAAGCAGTCAGGGTTACAGAGTTTTATAATTGTATGGTAGCTCAGTAATGACATCTGGGACTGAGAAGTTCAGTAATGACATCTGGCACTTTCAAGCAGGAAGAAGGGTGAAGAGTAAAAGAGCTGATGGCAAATGGGCCACTTCATCTCATTTACCTGCTTTCCCAGAGGCTCCACCCAAGAACTTTTGTTTTCATCTCCTCATTAAAAGTAGTCATCCCTAACTTCAGATAAGTCTGCAAAGGTATTTACTTTTTCTACCTACATAAAGAAGAGCAAGAAACAAAAGAGTTGTGTCTAATATTGGGGTAGCATATCAGGCATTGGGGGTTCATACTGCCTGCCATCACTGTTATAAGCCAACCATAATATTACGACTTCTTTGAGCTTGAGGTACCTATTGTCAGCAATAAAAAAATTAGATAACATTTGCTACATTTGAGTTCCTCTATTTAACTTCACATCTGGTAGACAATTTTCTCTTATAAAGAAATTCAGTTTCGAGGGAGATCTTTTTCTTTTCTTCTGAATGTGAGTATCCTTGCAGAATGGATAATTTGTATCCAGATGTCAAACAAAGGGGGCAGGGAAGCTACCCTGCATAAGAGGAAGTTTTAAATTCTTTAGGGAAGAGGTTCATGGTGCAAATTCTGAAAAGGTGACTAATTTATATGAACCCTCAAAACTCAAGTAAAATTACGAAATTCATAAAATTTATGTTGCAACTTAATATTTTCAAAATTGCAGAGGGGCTGTATATTGCATCCTGTTCAATATTAGGGAAAAATAGGATAAACATAGGATATATAGGACCTATAGAAAGGCTACTGGAGGAAATCAGCCTACAAGACTATTTTCATTATAGAGAGTAATTTGTACTGTCTTAAGGTGTTGGGGATTTCCTGTAGTTTATTTAGAACTCTCAAGACGGGAAAAACCCTGCTGGCACATAGATCACACAGAAGACCTGAGCTAGTAAATTACTAGCAAGTGAGAATTTTTGCAGAAATTTATGCATATATAACTATGTAGTTAAATAAAGAAAAAAGACAGAGAGAGAAAGAGATGTAAATACCTTTGAACCTATAATTTTCTTTTCAATTTATGGTAACTGTTGTTGGAGACTAAAAGACAAACTTCTCCAGAGGGAATAGTCTCGACTAATTTTTTTACTGCAGTGTTGCCAGTGTTGTTTTAACAACCAGGAACTGCATTCTTTGTTTAAGTGGTATACAAATGTTTTGTTGTCTAAAACCTCTTCATATGTTAGTCAACAAAATATTTATGTACCACTTTTTATGCAATCATAAAAAATAACAAAGTTTTTTGTATAAAAAGCATTGAATATTAGGTCAGAATGGCTGCCTGACAGTGACTGTAAGAAGCTATAAATTGTATGACAAATCCCAGTTTCAGTTAATGTTAAAATATGAAAAGAAACCACGTGTCTTACTCCTAATAAAATAAGTTTCCCTAATTTTCAGTTTCAGCAAATCAATAAGACAGTATCACGCATTTCTTCTCTTTTTTGCAGTTATCTACAAAGCACTGGGTCACTTCTTTTATTCTTTAGGATTTTAGCACAATTGTTGCCATAAATTCTGATAAATTCAATTTTCCTGTAATGTCACTCTTGTCTTTCTTTAATTCTTTAGCGATGATCTTATGCTATGATTGACCTCTTACATGAACTCCCAAGTTAATATTAATAAATTCATTTCCTTCCCAATTTTAACTTTAAACATTCCATGCCTCAAACTTCACGTTTTATCTTTCAGTCATGCTTCACAGTATTGTATTTCCTACTTTGTGTTAATACTTAGATGAACAAGCACTTGTCTCTACTACATCCTTCATTATTGATTTCATATTATCTTCACAAACCTCACATCACCAATTCTTCCTTACCTAACCTAGGTTTCATTCATATCATTATACTCACACCCTTACATATAATCCCTCAACTTATTTCCCTCATCTGCCATTGTTTTACTCAGTTTGTATGCTGAGTAACTGCGGAGTAAACTAACTCATGGCCCACTCTGAACCTGTGCCTGAACAGCTGAAAGTGGCTGGAGAAAAATGCACAACTCTGTGCAAAGCTGGGTTCTTTTTGCTGCCCTTTTCTTCTGCCTTATTATTATTTGCCTTCTCTTTTTTCCTTCTTTCCTTTCTCTTGGATTATTCTCATTGGCATAAAAACTTACAATGCTTTCTATAAAAAAAATAATCTCCCTTGATCTACATTCCTTAGAACTACTGTCCCATTACTCTGTTCTCTTTTATGGCTACACTCTAAAAAAAAAAAAAGATATTAATATTCTGTTGTGAACTGAACGCGAGCCCGGGAATCTCGTCCAGCGAGAGGGTCCCAAACCTGGAAGAGAGCGCGCGCCAGAAAAAAGGAGATAGAAGAGGCGAGGTCTGGAGGGCTACATGTGCTATGCTCATGCAGAAATTTTATTTTTGCAATGGGTTTCATTGTATACATTTCTGAAGTTAAAGTTGTTTACGCCAGATTAACGTACTTAAGTTACAGTAAGCAAGTTATGCCCAGTAAGTAAGTTAAGCCCGGTAAGTAGGCTACGCCCAGTAAGTAGGTTACTTCCAGTAAGTAGGTTACACCCAATAGGTCAAGGTAAGTAGATTACAGTCACGCCCTGTAAGCTATGGTAAATAAGTTACAGTTACGCCCTGTAAGTTAAGGTAAGTAAGTTACCACGTGTAAATATTTAAGTTAATATTTTGCAATGAAGGTAACACGGGTCCAAAATGAACACAATGAGACAATAAACCATAAGAAGCCGAAAGTAGACACAATGCCTCCCAAGTCCTCATATCCATAAAGTAACGTCTGTTGATTATTTTGAATAACATATAGTTCCTCTCTCGGTTCCTGCTTTCCCTCAGCTCGACTCCTCCAACCGGGGATCTGTGTCCGGGCTCAAGCTCACTGTATGGTGAGGCCCATTTCCCAGGGGCCTCACGCGGGAGCAATCCCCACAGATCCCTCAATATTCAATATCTCTAATTATTCTTGGAAAAAAATGTTTCACTAGAAAGCCTATGTTTCTAGATATTATAATATGTATATTCATAAATTGTTGACATACAACGGATGTAAACCACCTTACATGCTGCCTAGACAGAGCTGATTCATCAAGACAGGGGAATGGCAATAAAGAGTAATTCACTCAGATCCTGCTGTATAGGAGACCAGAGTTTTATTATTACACAAACCAGTCAATCAGTCTTCCCTAGCATTCGAGGATCAGAGTTTTTAAGGACATCTTGATGGGTAGGGGGAAGCCAGTGAGCCAGGAGTGCTGATTGGTCAGTGATAAAATAACAGGGAGTTGAAGCTGCCTTCTTGTGCTGAGTCAGTTCCTGGGGGCCACAAGATCAGATGAGACAGTTTATTGATCTGGATGGTACCAGTTGATCCATCAAGCAGGGTCTGCAGAATATCTCAAGCACTGATTTTTGGAGCAGTTTAGGGAGGGTCAGAATCATGTAACCTCTAGCTGTATGGCTCCTAAACCATCATTTCTTATCTTGTGGCTAATATTAGTCCTACAAAGGCAATCTAGACACCAAGCAAGAAGGAGGTCTGCTTTGGGAAAAGGTCTGTTGTAATATTTGTTTTAAACTATAAACTAAGTTTCTCCCATAGTTCAACCTACATTCAAGAAGGAATAAGGACAGCTTGGAGGTTAGAAGCAAGATGGAGTCTGTTAAGTTAGATCTCTTTCACTGTCTCAGTCATCATTTTGCAAAAGCAGTTTCACTGACAGTTAAAAAGTTCTTACTAGGGTTGTTAAGAGTTAAAATTCTGATTAATATATGGTAAATAAAATGAGATAAGAAGGAAAATGACTATATGTAGTATAAGAAAAGTAAAATATGTTTTTAGTAAGGAAGGTTATATGAAACATTTAAATATTCTTTTAATGCTTTTAATCTTACAACTCTACCAAAGAGACATCAGAATCATTTTCTCTTTTAAAATACAAATTTTATTTTTATTTTATTCATCATCTGATATGGTTGATCACTTGCTCCTCATTTTTAGGAGGATTTTTTTATTGATACATAATAGATGTACACATTTTGGGGGGCTCTCTTTAATCCGTTTTCTTCATTGAATTCTTCCAATGCATAATTCTCCTCCTGCATCACTTTCTACTTTTTCTAAAAAATTTGTGCTGATCTCTCCCATTTTTCTAACCTTTAAACACAGATTGTTCTAGGTCTATATCTGAGGTATTTAATCAAGGCTCACTATCACTAATATTGTTTTTATTCTAATAATTTTCACATTTATGTCTCCAGCACAGACTTATCTCCTGAACTCCAGAGATGTATATTCAACTTTATACTTACTATTTCCTAATGCATATATCTAACACATACCTCAAGTCTTAGATTGCCGGTTAAACAGGGCACCCGGACCAGTGCACTTTGTGCAGAGCGCTGTGGAGCGCCGCTGCGCTGTAGCACCGGCTGCTGGCTGCACCGGCTGTCAGCTGCACCAGCCAAAACCGCTGCGCTGGTGTCCCACATCTCTTTTATACCTGGGAATTTCCCTGTTCTGTGTGCAACAAAGATCCGTCTGGAAATGCAGCCCTGACTCACCCTCCGCGTGTTCACTGAGAGCTTCAATCCTGGGTTGTTCTCACCGTGCCATCTTGAGTCGTTCGATTGATAATGTATACATTTGAAAGCACCCACACATAGGTCTCTGAGCTGAATTAACAAAACAGTATGTATGGAGAAAGCTAAGGTTCAAAAGCCAGGATGGAAGCTTTTGTTATGCAAATTAAAATCTTTAAATTACTGAAGGAAAATAATTATCAACCTAGAAGTATAAACCTCATAAAACTGAGTACTGACGTTAAATATATTTCCTATCAAACACTACCAAAATAGACTTTAAACAAAATCTACATTCAGATACTCACCATCCTAAAGGGGTTTCAAAAGAATCTAAGTTGAGTTAGATGTTCACATTGTAGAAATGTTAATACATTTTTCTCAGCGAAGTCGAGGTTAAAATAAGGCTAAATAATATTAGAATGATAGAAATATTAATCTTGATCTAATTTACACATGTGAAACATTAAAATATAGAAAATAAATTTATTTTTAAAAGCAGAGAGAATATTTTCCAAGGATAATTAAAAAGTCATAATTCAGTATTTCTTTTAAGTTTTAATAAAATGTGAATTGCAAAAGAATATAATTAAACTAAAAATGCAATAAAAAATAAGTTATAAAAGATACTTCATAAAAAATTGAATATCAATGTCTTTCATTAAAATTCTTAATTAGTATATAAGAAACAAAAATAAGAATCACAATGAAATATACTTTACCTATAATATTGACAATGAATATTAGAATATTATCATTTCCACTGCCGAATCGCATGAAGGGAAACAGATAATTCAACTATTGGGAGGATGGTACATTATTACAATTTTTGATAGAGTATTTGGGAGATATTTGGCAAAATTTTAACCTGGAAATTTCCTTACTAGGAATTTATTTCAAGAATATTTCTGTAAATGTATAAATTAACCTAAAAAGTAGCTTGTAGCATTATTTCGAAAGAAAACATAAATTAGGGGAAAAATATTTAGCTGATTTGGGTGTGGTGCTGGTATTTTAGATACAATACCAAAAGCATGATCCAGGAAAGAAAAATTGAATAAATTGGTGTGTATTTGTTTGCTAGGCTGCCTTAACAAGTTGCCACAGATAGGACGATTTAAACATCTGAAATTTGTTTTCTTACAGTTCTGGAGGCTAGAAGTCAAAATGTCCACAATGCTGGCTTTTTGTGACAGCCAGCAGGGACGAATGTATTCAAGGTCTCTCTCCTGGCTTGTAGATGTCAATCTTCTCCCAGTCATCTCACCTCTCTATATGTCTGTGTCCAATTTCCTCTTCATTTAACGACACTAGTCACATTAGATTATGTTCTTACCAGTATAAATTGGAACTATTTACTAGGGTTACTCTATAGCTACATTTCCAAGGTTGAAGAAAAATCAAAAGAGGGTAATTTCTCTCTACATATTTCCAAGCAGCTGGTGATCCACAGTCAGGGACTATCCAGGACCAGCAGGGATGCTTGTGCCTAGCTAACTGTGAGTGTTTCTATTTTGTGTTACTTCCCAGGGGATGGATGGAGGAAGAAATTTGACCTTTTTTCTGGCAATGATAATAGCATGGGAAGTCCCAGCTTAACATCAAAGTCAATTTGAGAGTAATGTATGCAAGTAATAACACTTTAATTTGTGGCTCTGATGAACCCTGAAATAATGAACAAGAAAAGGATACTGCCTAATAGAAGAGCAAATCAGGAAACTGGTTTGACACATTGTCCCAAGCCCTGGTCACGGGCCCCCTACATGTCAGGTTTTATGTACAAATAATTGAATGAGGTCTGATATAAGCTTCTCTATACAGATATAGCTCTTAAAATTTTTTGGTTACTGTAACATCTGTATGTAGGAGTTCAGTCAGGGTAGTAGCAAAAATATTAAAAGAAAAATATTAAAGAAAGTTATATAATATAGTCTCAAACCCTTTTAGAAGGCCTAAAAGTTTTTCCTATAGTTCTTAGCTAAAAGCAGCCAGAGTCTCTTTGCAAGTCAGAAACATTAAGGTGCAAATATGAAAGAATGTGAAGAGTTTACCTAATTAACTTATTTGCTCATATAGTTCTAAAATTAACCTTTGATTATTCCAGATAGCTCTCTCAGGAAGAAGTCGACCAAGGATATTACCCATTAATGGTGTTTACTTTAAAGCTCAGAACCTGTCCTTTAATCTTTTCACTCTAGTAGTGTTGATTCAAGCCTTTGTCAATTAAACTTTGCTAAAAAATGCCAGTCTCATTAGCTAGTGAAGGCCAGGTGTTGCAACTGTTTCCAGCACTCTCCAAGGAGTCTGTAAGTAACCACAGACAGTTGAACTAGCAAAGCATAATATCTGCATGTCAGTGTACTTTCTTCATCCGTTGTTAAGTCAAGGTTTGCAGGACAGACCCCTGCAGGTAGTGACCCCGACACCTGTGCATTGCTAAAGCTCTTTGCCTTACTGATTCTCCTCTGGCAGATACTTGGTACTCCTTAACCTTTAATATGGAACAACTAGAACTTGGTACCTATAAAGGTTACCTTGATGTCCTAATATGTCATGTTATAAATTAAGAGAGATAAGAGCGAGTGTTTATATGACAAGCTCCTAAAATCTGGTTATTTGTTGTCAATCTTCGTTACACTCAACAGAATTGTATGACTTTTCACAACTCTAGTAGGAAATTAAATAAGCAGAATGAAAGTCCTCTATTTCTTTCCCATTGTAGACTAACTTCCCCAGCTTAAGCAGAAGTATCTGAGAGCAGAATGACACTCTTCACAAACTTAGTAGACCAGTCATTCAAATATTGCCGTCTGTTGCCATGTGGTGCATTGTGAAGCTGACACACATTTAGCCTTTGAAAAAAGTGCATGTAATTGCATAGCATGCCATGAAATCCATTTAAATCTGGCAAATGTACTGCAATGCTTTGTTAGCAATTATAAATTCACAGTGGTAGGTGATAGGAACACAAACAGAAATGGGATGTCAGGAAAAATGAGGATCACTTGCTGGTAACTGTCAATTAGTTGCCAAAAAATCTAACAGTTTTGAGTTTCATTGTGGTATTAGCGCTATTGCTGAGAAACTGGCTCATTTTTATATCCCTCTGCTATCCCTACCACTCTTCTCATGAAGCAAACAGATTTACTTTGCAATGCGTAGAGGGACACCATGATGAAAATGGGTATTTCTCTAAAGGCAAGTATAGAAAGGAAAGTATATCTCTCTAAGATTATCATTTTAAACTGCTTCAACAGGAACATAACCAGGAGTGTCAAATGGAAAACATTTTGCTACTTAACTGTCCAATATATGGCATGCGTGAGTGTGGTGTTCTTGTTTGAAAGACATCAAACAAATGTCAAACAAGTAGTGGGGCACGTAGAAACAGAACTCCTAAGTTCTTGGAATGTGAGAATGGTAATGCTAACAGTGAAAATACTCATTTTACACTGCCTTTAATCCATAAGTACCATCTTTGTTTTTTTCAGTCAAATATAAGAATTCAGTCAGCTGGGCATGATGGCTCACACCTGTAATCCCAGCACTTTGGGAAGCTAAAGAGGGTGGATCGAAAGGTCAGGAGTTCGAGAACCAGCCTGGCCAACATAGTGTAACCCCATATCTACTAAAAATACAAAAAATTTTCCAGGCATGCTGGTGGGTACCTGTAATCTCAGTTGCTCAGGAAGCTGAGGCAGAAGAATCGCTTGAACCTGGGAGGTTGAGGTTGCAGTGAGCCAAGATTTTGCCATTGCACTCCAGCCTGGGCAGTAGTGAGAAACTCCATCTCAAAAAAAAAAGAATTTAAAAAGAGAGAGAGAGAGACAGAAGAATGCAGTCAAACTACATGTCTCAAAAACATCGATCATTTTGACCCTCCTGGCATGGGCAAGTTCCATGATTGCTACCCAGTTGGGTAGTGGCAAATGAGTTTAATAGATTAGGCAACATAGGGCACTTTAAGTAAACCTCCCAAACACATTGTAAAGCCTAAGTAATTTCTATGTGAATATTATTCGTTATGCAATGGTTGGAGAGTACCGGAAAGAAGTTGTTTTTTCTTAAAGCATCATTTTGTTTTTATATTTTTCCTAATGCTAAACTCTTAATCAGCTCTCTGGCTTTCCTAATCACTCTGATGCCCATCCACTCCTCCAAAAACTTACCTCACAAATAACTACCTAAAAATTACCTCTTATTCTTTTGTGCCACCATACATCCTCAACTCTTTCTTTTTCTTTAATTTTGTATTTCAAAATACGTCCTCCTTTCCAGTTCTCTTCTAATATGCTTCTCTATATTTCTTCCTCAAGAATCTGTGGATGATAGCAATAATTGCCAAATGAATAATATATGGAGAAAAATTTGATTAGCTCAAATGCCAGTCTTATTTTTATTGCTAACCAGCAACTTAAAGTATATTGAAATAGGCCATTCTTTTATTTCTGGATTAGGAGAAAGTGCATCTTTATTTGAAACTCTGATCAGAAAATGCATGTTAGATAGCCTATTATCTAATTTTGAGAATGCATGAAAAATAAATTAGACATTTTCTCAATGTAGTGAAATCATATTTCAAATGATGCACCTGTAGGACTAGAGTTGATCATTGAGCTTACATACAAGCATTCTTCTGTAGAATTTTTAGTAATCTTAATGACAGTCCACAATGATGAATTGAAGCTCACAGTGAGAAAAGCAGGATGAGCTCATTAATCATTTCAATACAGTATCTGTCACAGGTAACTTTAGAATTATCTATTTCCTTCTCATATCTGAAAAGGCTTAGTTGCTAGATGACTATTGATAAAATGTCATAGTGAAAAAATATCTCAAATTGAACTATACCTGCTTTGATATAAGGTACTTGAATTATAAAAGGTGAGCAATGTTTGATATTGTATTAACTCTCTTAGATACCAAGAACAAGGCATCATTTACATGAAAATAAAGGCTTCAAATAAATTAGACATAAATAACATTCTTTTTAAAAGAATAAAGGAACCACAGTATAGGTACCAAAGTAATATGCTGATAACTCCCAAATCTGAATATTAAGCCTTGATCTGATTCCCAAATCTGGATTTTAAGTCCTGAGCTGTCATCAGAAATCCTGCCTTATAGTCTAACTCTCTATGTTATCTCCGCAAGGATGCATACTAAGTGGCTCAAACTTAATGTAACCAAAAGGGAGCTTTTACCTTTAGTTTTCAAACTTGCTTCTGCCTTACCCTCCCAATTCAGTAAGAATACCATAGTCTATCTTTTAGCTTAAACCAAAAATAATCATTCGAACCATGTGACACGGTTTGGCTCTGTCTCCTCCCAAATCTAATCTTAAATTGTAGCTCTCATAATTCCCATGTCTTGTGGGAGGGACCTGGTGGAAGATAATTGAGTCATAGGGAGGGTTTCCCCAATACTGTTCTCGTGGTAGTGAAAAAGTCTCAGAAGATCTGATGATTTTATAAGGGATTTCTGCTTTCACTTGGCTCCCATTCACTCCTTGCCTACCGCCATGTAAGATGCTTCTTGCTCTTCTGCCATGATTGTGAGGCCTCCCCAGCCATGTGGAACTATGAGTCCATTAAATCTCTTTTTCTTTATGAATTACCCTGTCTTTGGCATGTCTTTATTAGCAGTGAAAGAATGAATTAATATACTGTGATTATACTTGTTTACTCTCTTTTTATTTCCAACCCATATGCAAGTCATGTAGACCCACCTCCAGTTTATATCCATGTGTGTCTTATCATTCCTACTACAGTTACCCTAATTCAGGTCACCATGATTGTTTTAGCAAGATCATGTTAACAGTCATTTTAGTAATCTTCCTGCTTCTTTTGTTGGCTTCTATTTTTCACACTATAATGTAGTTAATCATTTAATGTCAGGTCAAACTCTATAGACTTAAAATCCACACATATACTGGCTCCTGCTAAATGTTCAGAATTCACATTGAATCACTTTCTCCCTTAATTATTGTGTTCTAAATTGCTGGAATTCTTTTGGTTCATTGACTATCACAAGCTTCTTCCCAGATTTAGATCTTCACAAAACTATTCTCTGCTCAGAATACACTCCTGTTTGACTTTGGAAAGGTGGCTCCTTTGTGCCATTCAGATCTTTGTTGAGTGTCAGTTTACCACAGACTCCTTTCCTGATATCTCAAATTATTGCAGCCACATGAATGATCTCCATCTTATTAGTCTATTTTAATTTTCTACAAAGCACTTGCCACTATCTAATATTTTCTTAAATATTTACTTATTTCTATTATGTCCCCTTACTAAAATGTAAGCTCCATTATAGCCTGAAACTTCTTTGTTCACTCTTCTACCCTCAAGCTATACAAAAGCAATTGATATATATGGGCATTCTAGAAGTATTTACCAAATAAATGAGTTACCTTAGTATACATTTTTAGTTGTGTAAGTGTTATTACTCTGGTAATTATGAGCCAGGCAGGAAACCATTCAGAAAAATAATAATGTAAATGCCAAATACAGTCACCAACATGATGTTTTAGAAATTAGATTCATTTTGTGTCCCATGTTTGACATGAGTTGGAATAATTGCAAGTTTAATCTTATCTTTTTGGATTGTAAAAATTTTAACATAACAATAGTGAATGCATCATATATTGGAAAACATGTTCTATGAAATGGTTTAGGTACTTTACACATGTAATCTTTGTAACACCCTAATAATCTAAATTGTTATTTAATAGATGTGGAAACTAAGACACAGAAAGATTAAACAACTGTCCCAAGGTCTCATGACTAACAATGAGCAGATTTGGGAGTCAAACATAGGTAGCCTGTATTACTTATGTTTATAACCTCAGATCTACGTTGCCTTTTAGCCTGGAAGTGCAAGTTGTATCATTTGACTGACATTCAACTATCACATATTGACAAGTCTTTTTTAAAGACGAAGTCCTAAATATTTTAGATGGAAAGACAAATATTATTCAGTTATTTTCCACAGACAGCTTTTATATTTGATGGGCTGGCAGAAAAAAAAAAATCAGTGAGTGTGAAAATTAATTTCACACTCACTGTGTAATTACGAGTGTGAAAAATGTTCAATAGAAGTACATGAGCTAAGTGAAGACACAGTACACATAGAAAGGGCACTGGGAATCCATTGTGAAAGGGAATTTGTCAGTCACAGGATCCTGGAACACCTTATGTTTAAGCTAAATCCAAGAAGCTCAGTAGGTGTTACCTCGGATAGGAACAGGCATGTTTAAGGCAGAGGAATGCAGCTGATAGTAACGCCTAATCAGGGTTCAACATGGCATATGTTTTGTTTCAGGTATACACTTCAGGATAGTTATTCTCAGTGTAACTTATTCTCACTGGCTATCAGTAACGTGTTCTCATGATAGTCAGTCTTATAATTCCTATATTCAGTAACCTGTCTGACCTGCTGATAACAAAATCAACTGTAGGTCATTGCACCAGAAGGAAAAGAAAATTATCAAAATAAAAAATTTTAAAACCTGTGCAAATAAGCAAGTTTAAAACAATGAAACTAATTTAGACAATAGAATTAATTTTAGGGCCGGGTGCGGTGGCTCACGCCTGTAATCCCAGCACTTTGGGAGGCCGAGGTGGGTGAATCACGAGGTCAAGAGATCGAGACCATCCTGGTCAACATGGTGAAACCCTGTTTCTACAAAAATCCAAAAAAATAGCTGAGCATGGTGGCACGTGCCTGTAATCCCAGCTACCCAGGAGGCTGAGGCAGGAGAATTGCCTGAACCCAGGAGGCGGAGGTTGCGGTGAGCCGAGATCGCACCATTGCACTCCAGTCTGGGTAACAAGAGTGAAACTTCGTCTCAAAAAAATAAAATAAATAAATAAATTAAAAATCCTACTAATTAGAAACGTGATTATTTTATTAATGAAATTCTTTCTAAAGAAACTTCTTTTAGATTTGACAGTATCCAATAATATGACAATTGATATCTTCAATATGACTTAAATTGAGTTTTAGTCACTCCCACTCAAGCAACCTCAAGTTCTTTTCTAAACAAATTTAATGATAAATGTTGAAATAGTAAACATCAAAATAATCAGTATAAGCTTCAAATATATTTTTTAAAATTTTAGTCTGTGATATCTGTGAACTACTTTATAATATTGTTCCTAAGAAAAAGTAATTCTATCCATCCCAAATTGTGTGTGTGTAAGTGTGTGTGTGTGTGTGTGTGTGTGTGTGTGTGTGTGTGTTTCTTTGATGAGCAATTTTGGATCAGAAGAGTCAGATATTCTACATGTATTTACTGTTATCTAATGCCCTATCATCACAAAGGAACTCTTGGTAACTCCATTAATCAAATAAGATAAAAATAAAGATAATATTGGAATAAGTTCTATGCATTAGATTTCAGGAAATTATTAGAATGTTAGATTCTAGAGTAATAACCTTTAGAATGGTTAATTTCCTTTTGTGTATTAGTTTATTTTTATACATTAATATGTGATTGAAGAAGAAAATGGAGCAGTTCATTTCTTTACTATTTATTGGTTCATTTATTTTCAAGATAGGAGGATCTATCTAATGATTAACTGCACAACTTTTCAGCAGCTATAGTTGTTGCTAAAAACATCCCATCAGAAACTTGAGAGAAAATTTAAAGACATTTATCAAAGTTCCCATTTGGAATCTAGAGAAACAATAAAGTAGATATTGACTTCTCTTGAGGAATGGATCAGAATTTATTGACCCAAAAGGAGAGTGAGTATTTACCTTGACTCTCATTCTATGGTCAATAAAATGTAAAATTTCATATTATTTCTAATCAAAAATATCTTGAAATCTGTTAAATGATGACATTGTCTAAAAAGCATTTATGTTTTTTAGTGTATAACAATATATGTGCATTATTAAGAAACTGTAATGTATAAAATACTCAAAGTAGAAAAAATACTTTCCCAATAATAATTTTCCATCAAAAGGAAAACAACTGTTAATATTTTGGTATATTTCATGTCAGTCATTTTCCTATAAAGTTATTTGAGCATGTTTATATATGTGAATTCTGATTTAAAATGTGACAAAAATAAAATTTGTAGTTTGTGTTATTCTTCCCAAATACACATTCCTTCTTCCTGTAAAAAGATTTATTGATCCATGATTTGCTATAACTCATGTGCAATTCATGTACATCTCCATCCCACTGACGTGTTTGTCAGTGAACCTTGGTTTGGGCATTGGCATCGGGACATACGTACACCTAATACATCCAAAGCTTCAGAGCCATTGTATGTCTCTACCACCTCTTAGTTCTTAGTCTGACTAGAGG